TCATAAACATGAGTGCCCGTCATCATACACATGGCTGCCCGTGGTCATACACATGGGTGCCCGTGGTCATAAACATGAGTGCCCGTGGTCATACACATGGGTGCCCGTGGTCATACACATGGGTGCCCGTGGTAATACACATGGATGCCGATAGTCATACACATGGATGCCCATAGTCATACACATGGGTGCCTGTGGTCATACACATGGGTGCCCATAGTCATACACATGGGTGCCCGTGGTCATACACATGGGTGACCATAGTCATACACAAGGGTGCCCATCGTCATACACATGGGTGCCCATAGTGATACACATGGGTGACCGTGGTCATACACATGAGTGCCCATAGTGATACACATGGGTGCCCGTAGTCATACACATGGGTGCCCTTCGTCATACACATGGGTGCCTGTAGTCATACACATGGGTGCCTAAAGTCATACACATGGGTGCCCATAGTCATATATATGGGTGCCTGTAGTCATACACATGGGGCACATTGTCATACACATGGGTGCCCGTGGTCATACACATGGATGCCGAAGGCCATACACATGGGTGCCCATAGTCATACACATGGGTGCCTGTGGTCATACACATGGGGCACATTGTCATACACATGGGTGCCTGTGGTCATACATATGGGTGCCCATCGTCATACACATGGGTGCCCATAGTGATACACATGCGTGCCCGTGGTCATACACATGGGTGCCCATAGTGATACACATGGGTGCCCGTGGTCATACACATGGGTGCCCGTGGTCATACACGTGGGTGCCCATAGTCATAAACATGGATTCCCATAGTCATACACATGGATGCCCAAAGTCATACACATGGATGCCCATAGTCATACACATGGATGCCCAAAGTCATACACATGGATGCCCGTGGTCATACACATGGGTGCCTGTGGTCATACACATGGGTGACGAAAGTCATACACATGGGTGCCCAAAGTCATACACATGGGTGCCTGTGGTCATACACATGGGTGGCTGTGGTCATACACATGGGTGCCTGTGGTCATACACATGGATGCCCATAGTCATACACATGGGTGCCTGTGGTCATACACATGAGTGCCTAAAGTCATACACATGGTTGCCCAAAGTCATACACATGGGTGCCTGTGATCATACACATGGGTGCCCAAAGTCATACACATGGATGCCCATAGTCATACACATGGGTACCCATCGTCATACACATGGAAGCCCGTGGTCATACACATGGGTGCCTGTGGTCATACACATGGGTTTCCGTGGTCATACACATGGATGCCCGTCGTCATACACATGGATGCCCATTGTCATACACATGAGTGCCCGTGGTCATACACATCGGTGCCCGTGGTCATACACATGGGTGCTCGTGGTCATACACATGGGTGCCCATGGTCATACCTGCCCGTGGTCATACCTTGATTTTATCATTATCATTTGTTGTTAAAAGAAAGCCTTTTATTTCGTAATTTATACAAAAATTTATTTTGTGTAAAGACACCCACAAATCTTCTTTGATATATAGCTGATCAAATTCCTAATTATGAGAGTCTTTTATTCGATAGATTTAATCCAAAATTATCCATCTTTCTTCCATCACATTCAAATCCAGACTTTTAACAACTTCAAATTCATGAACACATTTGTGTCTATATTCCTAGTTTTGTTTCAGCATCAGAATATTTGTTTTCGTACAATAATTGACTCTTTTGCCTGTATGGCTCTCAAAATATTGATGACATACACATCTTTGCCACTCTTAACAAAGAAAAAATGACACAAAAATAACTGCATTAAAAACTTAAAGAAATAACTTAAATTCAGAACTTATTGGCGTAAATACTGATTTAATCGACTTAAGTTCATATTTTTTTGAAGTAACTTCAATGATTTAATAGACATTAAGTTTGTTGCGTGGGTGAGAAGTTCAAGAAACAGTTGAATTTTTTTTAAAGAAGTGGCAACAGTCTGACCAGAGTGCATTGGAGTAGGAGAGATCAAGAGCTTAGATAGTGCTCCCTAAAGACGCTTGACCTAGAAAGACACACTTTGCTGGTCATGAAATTACGGTAGAGTGAAAAATATTTCGAGAAAAAAAAATTCAAACAATTTCAATGCAAATCAAACAGACTTTGCTTTCACTAAGATTAAACAAATCAAACTGACCTTGCCTCCACATTCATATTCAGAGGTAGGTCTATTTCAAAACAGAAGATTACTAAATTGCATTCATTGAAATGGCAACATATTAATTCACATAGGACACTTGTATGTGTTTAAAATATATAGAAAGGCAAGCCGGTTGACTGCGACCTCTGACATATAGAGCATATTTCAACATCTTCTAAATAGATTTTTTTAAAAAATAATTAATAATAATCCTAATTAAAAAGTTCTAGGCCTAGGCCTCGGCCCTATAAAGTTTCATCAGCGTTAGTTGTCCGACAAATTAAAGAGCTTTTTATTTTACACAAATAAATCACAGTTTTTTTCTTAAAATTATTTTTGTTTATATATTTTAAAAAGTCTTATTATTTTGTTATTTTAATAGATCTAAGAATGAGACATTTTAGTTAAGGGAAATGAAAAGAAGAAAACGAAACAGCTGTGATAAAGGCACGAATGATTACAACACTGATTTTTTAATTAAAAAAACAATAAAAATTAATAAAAATCACAGAACACTAATCGAAATTCGCACGAATCATTTCTTAGTAAACATGGCGTCATTCATTCAGGACATGTACAAAACTGGTACATGTTTTTAAAGGAAAAACAATGATAATGTCAAAGTAAGTAATAAACATTATGGTAACACACACAATGATAATGTCAAAGTACTAACCATTACGGTAACACAAAAAGATTTACATACTAACCAACAACAGCTTCGCCAACAGTGACAGTGACAGTGACGGTGATGGTGGACGGTTAAAAAGTAAAGCTTCTCAAACTATATGATGAGCCTGACCTGTATTTAAATGTATTTACATGAGATGCGTGGTCAACAAACCAAACTTCAGGAATGGCGTAAAAACTTGTTGACCCAGGGCGATAATATCATGGCGATCATCGACAATTAGGCGCCCACGGGTGCAGGCAGACCCAAGGGTCGGAGCATACAAATTGGCGGGCAAATGTATCCTTACAAATTTAATGGTGGCCGAAACGTTGGGTTGTCTACATACCGCCGTCATTCAAATGGTCATGTTTCCGTCTGAGTGCATCTAACTTTGCCGTCTCTAACAACAGCGAGGTCCAGCGCTTCTGGTAAGGGTGGTAATGCTGCCAGCTAATGGGGCCGTCACATAATCCCATGTCAGCTACTCAACTTCCTCAATGATCATGTGAACACAGAAATTAATTACGCATACAGTCCAACTTGATTTATAATGAGGCGAAATAATTATTGCCAGCGATGAATCACTACACAGAATTTCAGAGAAAAAAAAGGGGGGGGGGTATGGAGTGGGAAAAATAGGAGAAAAAAAATGTGAACCAAAACGGGCGGGGGGGGGGCAGTGAAACAAGTGGGTTCGTGGAGGTCCAAGAGATGCCAACGGCGTATAGAGATACCCCAAGAGTACGGATGGTATTGAAGGGGGTATGGAGTGGGAAAAATAGGAGAAAAAAAATGTGAACCAAAACGGGCGGGGGGGGGGCAGTGAAACAAGTGGGTTCGTGGAGTTCCAAGAGATGTCAACGGCGTATAGAGATACCCCAAGAGTACGGATGGTATTGATATACCCCCGAGAGTACGGGTTGTATTGAGATACCCCGAGAGTACGGATGGTATTGAGATATCGCCGAGAGTACGGTTTGATAGGCAGCATGGTTGGTCAGTGTAACATGTCATTTGAACTTTATTGGATGATAGACAGCATGTTTAGTGAGTGTGACATGTCATTTGAACTTTATTGGATGATCATCATCATGTCACTTAGTCCTTGGACCGTTGGGGCGCCACAGATGACATGTGAACTACCATCCTCCATTCGTCTCTGTCTTCTGCACTACGCACAGCATCGACCAGTTTTAGCCCTGTCCACTCTTTGATGTTATCCTCCCATCTTTTTCTTTGTCTTCCTCTTCTTCTCCCTCCTCTTGTGGTGCCCTGCAATATTTCTTTGGCAAGCCCTTGTTTCCTTGTTACGTGGCCGTGCCATTGTAGTTTGCGTTTTTTCACAGTCACCAGTAGGTCATCGTACTCCCCAATTGCCTGACGAACCCTTTCTTTCACTGTATCATTGGAAATATGGTCCCTATAGCAGATGCCAAAAATGCTTCTGAAGCATCTCATCTCCATTGCCTTTATTTTCCTTTCAAGATCGGCTGTTAATGTCCAGGATTCGCAGGCATACAGGAAAATGGAGAGGACTAATGAGCGCATCAGCCTGATTTTGGTCTGGGGGCTATACTTTTGTCATTCCATATTTTCTTGAGCCTCTTTAGTGCTGTTGTAGTCTGCGCAATCCTGGACATCAGTTCGGGCTTGGAGCCTTCTTCTGAGACTATTGCTATTAGGTATTTGAAGCGGCCTACAGTCTCTAGTCTTTCCTCTCTGACCTTAATTTCAGTGGTGATGCCTGTGGTGTTATTTGTCATCAGTTTTGTCTTTTCAGCACTGATTAGCATGCCGTAGGACGAAGAGGTCTTATCGAGAAGCTTTACCAGGTCGGCTAGCTCTTCTTCGTTCCCACCCAGTCCGTCTATGTCGTCCGCAAAGCGTACGTTGGTGATTGTTCTGCCACCAATGCTGACTGTCCCTTCATGCGTTTCCAGAGCATCTGAGATAATTCGCTCTAGGAAGATGTTAAACAGGGTGGGGGAGAGCAGGCAGCCTTGTCGTACTCCAACCGTGGTCTTGAACCATTCTCCGATGTTGTTGTTGAGGAAGACTGCACTGGTGGCCTTATCATAGATGATAGACAGCATGTTTAGTTAGTTTGACAGGTCATTTGAACTTTATTGGATGAATTTCCTCTGAGAGGCCATTTTAAAAATGTGTAAATCCTTAACCAGCCCTTTAAAAAAACTGTTTTACTTTCCTAAGAACTGCTTAACTTTAAAAACCTTACACCAATGACTGGTTCCTAACATATAGTTTGAGAACCACTGCTCCACTCCACCAATAAAAATCCCTCAATAAACAATTACGCAACAAGAAGAAATGTGAACACCTGTGTTACAACAACGCTACTACTACTACACACGCACAACATCCACACAGACCACCTGTGTTACAACAACGCTACTACTACTACACACGCACAACATCCACACAGACCACCTGTGTTACAACAACACTACTACTACACATGCATAGCATCCACACAAAGCACCTGTGTTACAACAACAATACTACTGCACACACACAATATCCACACAGACCATCGAAAATCGGAGCCGTTATTTTCTTTAGCCTGGTGTTTTTCCGGTCGCGGGTAGTAAGTTGTCTGTGGATGAATGGCGTCAGACCTTTCGTCTGCTGAGATCTCCTTGCTCTCACCTTCCCGCCTCTCTAGGTTCAGATCAACGTTGATGTAAGAGAACCGGCCTCCCGTGTCATTCCGTGAGACCAAGTCGACTTCGTTGCTCAGGATGTTCCACTCGTGATTGTAGAAAGTATCTGGGGCGTGAGGGGACCGGGCATTGAACAAGAATCATAATGAACGGAGCAAGGAGAAAATGATTCGGTTCTTGTTGTATAACTATGGCTTCAGTTTACATGACCTTATAAATCAGCGGTTCTCAACCTGTGGGTTGCGACCCCTTTGGGGGTCACACGACCCTTTCACCGGGGTCGCCTAAGACCATCTGAAATCTCATCGTGCCCCTAGAATAACAAGAATCTATATGACCTTTTGGTCAAACCGAGATATTCGCGTTTGAAAATTTGATGTTAGGTATGGATAAACTAAAAACATTTTTATAGAAGTTGTTGTTATTTTATGTTTATATTATCAATCCAAGGTTTGATCATTAAAATGAAAGTTTTGTGTATTGATTTTGATTTTATATGAATTTGTGAAATTTTTTATAGAACTTTGTAATTCTGAAAATGCTATTTCACTTTAGAATAACAAGGTTCTATTTATTTAACTCTATGATTTAAGAAATTACTTTCAAGAATAAATACATATTCATTATTTAGATCGCAAATACTAACAAGACTAAATCATTAACAATTTTATTTAAAGTAAAGACAGAAAATATTTCCTTGTATATAGTTTCTTTGTATTAATATATTATTACAAACTCAAACATAAACATTAATTAGACAATAACATGGTTTACACACACACTTGAAGTTTCTGCATTATTTTCATTTAAAACCAGCTAACATACTACAACAAGTTGCATAACTATGTTGCTATAGTATTGCCTGTCTTACTCAGGCATGAACTTGATCACGTCTCTAAAATCTGTTTTCTTAGCTACAGACAGTTTATTTGATGACATTGCTAACTTTGGTTGAGGCACAAATAATTGCGTTGATTTAATTGGGACACAACTTCTAGTGCTTTTAGGTTTTCTTACATGGATGTTTTCACATGCTATGTCCATAATGTTAAATCTACAACCAACCAATGGCTCATTTGTAAATTTCATTACTCGGTACACATACTTCGGAATATTTTACACTCTGGTATTGAACCTTATCAATTAGAACTTCAGTACCATTTAAAATCTTTGAAGTCATTTGGCCTGAATGCTTCATGAGTTTATAAGGTTTCACCTGCTAACAGATTTAAGGACTCTTATTAGACTTGGTGATGAAAACACTTCACATGGCAATAGATAATATTAGCATTGCTCTCAGTATCATATTCGCTTGTCGAGGAGCTCCAAAAAAAACTATTTGCAAGTGATAATCTAAAATGAGTCATACAAAGTCGGGTTAAACCTGACAAAAATGGAACGCAACAAAACAAAGTTTTTTTGTTTTTTTTTGTTTTTTTTTTGTTTGTTTGTTTCGTTGCGTTCCTTTTTTCAGGTTTAACCCGACTTTGTTTTAATCATTTTATGTTGTGCTAAACGTTCTCTCCTCAAATAACCTATTTTCTATTGTGGCGGCCGCCATTTTGAATGTAAACAATCCATGACCATTGAGGTAACGGTACATAACAAGCCTTATGATTGGCTGAAGATACCGAACTCATTTTACAAGCTGAATTTTTATTGGTTCACCATAAATAGAATCTCGTTAAAACTAAAACTATACGTTAGAACTTTGTTATTCTCAAGTGAAAGGCCAACCTCGAGTTAGAACCTTGTTATTTTGAATTTCCTACAAAATCGTCTCATTATAAAGGTTTCATCTTTTGTACCATGATAGAAGGGTTGATTAACTGTTGCACAGGGACAATAACACAGTTTTTTTCAAAAAATTGACTTAGAACCTTGTTATTCTAAGGGGACGACCTATACTCTGAAGTCATAAAGTATCAAGGAAAATAGTTTTGTCGTTGGGGGTCGCCACAACATGAGGAACTGTCTTAAAGGGTCGCGGCTTTGGAAAGGTTGAGAACCACTGTTATAAATGGATAATTTTTTTTTAAGTTGAGGATTATTATTTCGTAAACTATAGATTAACTTTTAAGACAAACACTTTTTAAAAATGAAAACATAATAATAACTGGAATTGTATGCCTGAAGGACAGCGATGGTCGGAGATAAGACTCGCTAGCTTAATGTATGGCTGGAGGACAGTGATGGGTGAAGATAAGACTCGCTAGCTTAAGGTATGGCTGGAGGACAGTGATGGGTGAAGATAAACTCGCTAGCTTAAGGTATGGCTGGAGGACAGTGATGGGTGAAGATAAGACTCACTAGCTTAAGGTATGGCTGGAGGACAGTGATGGGTGAAGATAAGACTCGCTAGCTTAAGGTATGGCTGGAGGACAGTGATGGGTGAAGATAAGACTCGCTAGCTTAAGGTATGGCTGGAGGACAGTGATGGGTGAAGATAAGACTCGCTAGCTTAAGGTATGGCTGGAGGACAGTGATGGGTGAAGATAAGACTCGCTAGCTTAAGGTATGGCTGGAGGACAGTGATGGGTGAAGATAAGACTCGCTAGCTTAAGGTATGGCTGGAGGACAGTGATGGGTGAAGATAAGACTCGCTAGCTTAAGGTATGGCTGGAGGACAGTGATGGGTGAAGATAAGACTCGCTAGCTTAAGGTATGGCTGGAGGACAGTGATGGGTGAAGATAAGACTCGCTAGCTTAAGGTATGGCGGGAGGACAGTGATGGGCTGAAAATAAGACTCGCTAGCTTAAGGTATGGCTGGAGGACAGTGATGGGTGAAGATAAGACTCGCTAGCTTAAGGTATGGCAGGAGGACTGCGATGGGTAAAGATAAGACTCGCTAGCTTAAGGTATGGCTGGACAACAGTGATGGGTGAAGATAAGACTTGCTAGCTTAAGGTATGGCTGGAGGACAGTGATGGACGAAGATAAGACTTGCTAGCTTAAGGTATGGCTGGAGGACAGTGATGGACGAAGATAAGACTTGCTATCTTCGGGAGAGAGACAGTTAGTTTAACTAGTCTGATTCTACTCTGACCATTATCTGTCACCAGTACGATTTTACCACAGTTTTTCCGGAGAAAAGGATTGTGGGTACATTTTAACTTTTTAGATGTTCGCTACGGTGTGTGTGTGTGTGTGTGTGTTTGTGTGTGTGTGTGTGTGTGTGTGTGTGTGTGTGTGTGGTTTGGGTGGGGGGATATTCACAAACCGAGTTCACGTGATGAACTCACCTGGCACAATGAATTCGCTGGTGTTTGTAAAAAAACGGTCGGTCTGGTCACCCCTGCTGTCACTCATGAAGCCCAGGGTGAGCGTGCAATTTTGGAATATGTCGTTCGTCTTTGTCTGACAATATGTCGTCACTTCCTGGAGAAAAAAACAACGTAAGTTAGATTTGCAAATGAAAATTAGAGACCGAAAGAAAGTAATTTTCTGATTTCGGCCGAAACCGAAACAAGACCGAAAGTAAAAAGTGACTGGTGGCCGAAACAGAAGTCAAAATAAAAAGTTTAACGAGACTTTCGGGCAAAGCCGAAAGATGTAGGTATTTTGAAACTCGTTCACGCATGTGTTATGTGTACATTGAAACATGATGGGGGAAAGTATCAATGCTTACATTCTTTTTATAAAAATTAGATTATCCTGAATATTAATAAATAAACATCTTATTAATAATTTTGTTTTTACAATTTGAATAAAAAAGTTGTTAATGTATTTTAAGTAGTATGGTAAAAGAAAATTTTGCCAGGGTAGGGGGGGGAGAGGGGTGATTCATGCAAAGCAGACCCTTGGGGGTCGTTTGCTTTTATAACTACAACTCTACCTTGACATATTTGGTATTGATCGAAAGCTCAGCCTATCTATTTTTTAATGTTATGGTCGTCTAAAATGTCCAGACCTAAGTTTTGAAGGAACTCATTGTTCTGCTAAATCAGTAGTCGGCAAATCACGGCTTGCGAGCCTCATGCGGCTTCTTCTTCTTCTATATATTAAGGGCCCACGATCAATTTATTGATCATTTTGGCTCCTAAGCATGTAGAGGGGATTTGAAATGTTTCTGTTGCTGGTGTTGATGAGGATATTTCACTGATTGCAAGTGCTATTTTCTAAGGGAATCATGCACTGGGGGCTGGAAGGCCTGAGGCAATAGACGCAAATGTGTCTAGTGTTGTCACCTCAACTGTTTCTTTTGAAAGCTTGTTCCAGTCCCTGATTGTCTGGGGCAGGAAGGAGCAGCTCCTATACTGGCTTCTTGCTGGTATGAGCCTCAATTGCCTGTTATGGCCTCGTCGCTGTCTATGGGGAAAAGAGGGACGAGTTTCTGTTTAATACTGGAACAGTGGACCAGCCCATTATTTATCTTGTACATCATGGAGAGCCCGGATAGTCGTCGTCGTTCCTCCAATGGTGACCAGCCTAGTGTTTCTAGCATGCTGCCAACACTAGAGGTATTCCTGTAGCGGTTTAGGACAAAGCATGCTGCCCATCGCTGGACCGCCTCCAACCTGTCAATGCTCTTCTGGTTAAATGGGTCCCAGACTGAAGATGGATAGTCTAAAATCGGCCGGACAAAGGCTTTATAGGCTCTTACTTTCACACAAGAACCCAAGGGTCTTGTTTGCCTGGTTACACACATTGTTAATATGCTCGTCCCAGCGGACCTCTCTTTGAATGGTAACACCCAGTTACTTTACGGAGGAAACTGGCTCAAGTATATGGCCGTGCTGTTCGTATTGGTAGTGTAGAGGAGTACAACTTCTAGTAACTGATAGGGTCTGGCACTTGGCAGGGTGAAATTCCATGTCCCAGCTCATCTCCCACTCAGCTAACCGATTAAGATCCTGTTGTAGCTGGTCCTGGTCAGAACTGTTGGCGATCGTCCTATACACCGCCGTGTCATCTGCGAACAGTCTTGCCTGTGATGTCAGTTTCTCGGGTAGGTCATTAATGAATGCTAGGAACATACAAGGGCCTAACACTGATCCCTGATTTCACATTGACAAAGGAGGAGCTTGTACCGTCCACTACTTCTGCATGGCATCAGTGGCTGAGGAAGCTAGAGATCCATGTTTTAGTGATGCCTTGGATCCCACATCTCTGGAGTTTGTGTAGAAGCAAACTATGATTGACACGGTCAAATGCCTTTGCGAAGTCCATCACCAGCACGTCAGTTTGCTTGTGGTTCTCCAGATTGGTCATCAAGTCTTCTACAAATTCAAGGAGCTGGATCTCACATGATCTATTGACTCCGAAGCCATGTTGACATTCATTGAGTATATTTTGCTTTCAAGATGCTTCATGACTGTGCTTACGATTAAGTGCTCTAACAGTTTGCAGACCACGCTGATGAGGGATATCGCACGATAGTTGGCAGGGTCGAAATGCTCCCCTTTCTTGTAAATTGGAGTGACATGCGCTGTTCTTCAGTCTGCTGGAACATTTCCTGTGCACAGCGACGATTGGAAGAGGCTTGTCAGTGCAGGAGGGATTTCTTTGGCTAATTCTTGGAGCACTCATGGTTTGATGTTGTCAGGGCCACAAGCCTTGTAGGGGTTAATGGTTTTAAGTAGGGCAAGCACACCCTGTTCTGATATCTGGATATCTTCCATTCCAGGGTAGGCTCTGTTCATCATGTTAGTCTTCAGATGGAACTCAACTCTTTAGTGACCTGAGTGTGGCTCAGCCAGTTGGCCACAAATCGGATTTGACTCCCAAAAGCAAGGTTCCTGACAGGTTCTTTTGACTCTTAAATTTGAAACATAAATCGTCCTGCTTCTGATTTTTGGCACTTTTGACCAATGAGTTTGCCGATCACTGACCTAATTTTGACTAATGAGTTTGCCGATTACTGGCCTACTTTTGACTAATGAGTTTGCCGATTACTGGCCTACTTTTGACTAATGAGTTAGCCGATTACTGGCCTACTTTTGACTAATGAGTTTGCCGATCACTGGCCTACTTTTGACTAATGAGTTAGCCGATTACTCGCCTACTTTTGACTAATGAGTTAGCCGATTACTGGCCTACTTTTGACTAATGAGTTTGCCGATCACTGGCCTACTTTTGACTAATGAGTTAGCCGATTACTCGCCTACTTTTGACTAATGAGTTTTCCGATTACTGGCCTACTTTTGACTAATGAGTTTGCCGATTACTGGCCTACTTTTGACTAATGAGTTAGCCGATTACTGGCCTACTTTTGACTAATGAGTTTGCCGATCACTGGCCTACTTTTGACTAATGAGTTAGCCGATTACTGGCCTACTTTTGACTAATGAGTTTGCCGATCACTGGCCTACTTTTGACTAATGAGTTTGCCGATTACTGGCCTACTTTTGACTAATGATTTTTCCGATCACTGGCCTACTTTTGACTAATGAGTTATCCGATTACCTGCCTACTTTTGACTAATGAGTTTGCCGACCACTTGCCTACTTTTGACCAATGAGTTTGCCGACCACTGGGATACTTTTGACCAATGAGTTTGCCAACCACTGGCCTACTTTTGACCAATGAGTTTTCCGACCACTTGCCTACTTTTGACCAATGAGTTTTCCTACCACTGGCCTACTTTTGACCAATGAGTTTGCCGACCACTTGCCTACTTTTGACCAATGAGTTTTCCGACCACTGGCCTACTTTTGACCAATGAGTTTTCCGACCACTGGCCTACTTTTGACTAATGAGTTTTCCGACCACTGGCCTACTTTTGACTAATGAGTTTGCCGACCACTGGCCTACTTTTGACCAATGAGTTTGCCGACCACTGGCCTACTTTTGACCAATGAGTTAGCTGACCACTGGCCTACTTTTGACCAATGAGTTTGCCGACCACTGGCCTACTTTTGACCAATGAGTTAGCTGACCACTGGCCTACTTTTGACCAATGAGTTAGCTGACCACTGGCCTACTTTTGACCAATGAGTTTGCCGACCACTGCGCTAAACCAAACATTTTCGTTGAAACACGCCTTCTTATTGGTAAACATTTATTTTTTTCTGTTATCCACAATATTTTTATCTTTGACCCAGATCAAACAAAAGTGGAATGAATTTTGAGTTACATTAAGTATCATGTAAGAGTAGCAGACCACGTGACACTGGACCTCCCAATGTAGTACAATATAGGCTCAAAATAGTTCTTTGCTATATCAAAATCTTACCATGAAGTATTATAATTTTAATTTAATAAAAATACAGTATAATTTAAACAATACTAAATGCATCTCATGTCTAATACAGGTCACTTCTCAAAGCAGATGACTGATGTTTAGATAGATGAAATAAAAATGTGCCCGACGTTTGCCACTTTGATGGACGAATATGTGGTGGTGGGGGGGTGGGGAGCTCAAATTGAGGATGGCAGCCGAAGTCACCGGGACAAACGTTGCGGTGGTGAGCCAGCTTCCCAGAATTCATTTATCAATTCAAAACACAGGGTTGCACGTTTGCGTATCACTGAATATAGTTTTGTATCATTCTAGTCATTGCTTTTATAGTTTTGTATCATTCTGGCCATTGCTGTTATAGTTTTGTATTATTCTAGTCATTGCTGTTATAGTTTTGTATCATTCTAGTCATTGCTGTTATAGTTTTGTATCATTCTGGCCATTGCTGTTATAGTTTTGTATTATTCTAGTCATTGCTGTTATAGTTTTGTATCATTCTAGTCATTGCTGTTATAGTTTTGTATCATTCTGGCCATTGCTGTTATAGTTTTGTATTATTCTAGTCATTGCTGTTATAGTTTTGTATTATTCTAGTCATTGCTGTTATAGTTTTGTATCATTCTAGTCATTGCTGTTATAGTTTTGTATTATTCTAGTCATTGCTGTTACAGTTTTGTATCATTCTAGTCATTGCTGTTATAGTTTTGTATTATTCTAGTCATTGCTGTTATAGTTTTGTATCATTCTAGTCATTGCTGTTATAGTTTTGTATCATTCTAGTCATTGCTGTTATAGTTTTGTATCATTCTAGTCATTGCTGTTATAGTTTTATATCATTCTAGTCATTGCTGGCATGGTTTTTTTATCATTCTAGTCATTGCTGTTATAGTTTTCTATCATTCTAGTCATTGATGTTATAGTTTTCTATCATTCTAGTCATTGCTGTTATAGTTTTCTATCATTTTAGTCATTGCTGTTATAGTTTTCTATCATTCTAGTCATTGATGTTATAGTTTTCTATCATTCTAGTCATTGCTGTTATAGTTTTCTATCATTTTAGTCATTGCTGTTATAGTTTTCTATCATTCTAGTCATCGCTGTTATAGTTTTCAATCATTCTAGTCATTGCTGTTATAGTTTTGTATCATTCTAGCCATTGCTGTTATAGTTTTGTATTATTCTAGTCATTGCTGTTATAGTTTTGTATCATTCTGGCCATTGCTGTTATAGTTTTGTATTATTCTAGACATTGCTGTTATAGTTTTGTATCATTCTAGACATTGCTGTTATAGTTTTGTATCATTCTAGTCATTGCTGTTATAGTTTTGTATCATTCTAGTCATTGCTGTTATAGTTTTGTATCATTCTAGTCATTGCTTTTATAGTTTTGTATCATTCTAGTCATTGCTGTTATAGTTTTGTATCATTCTAGTCATTGCTGTTATAGTTTTGTATCATCCTAGTCATTGCTGTTACAGTTTTCTATCTTTCTAGTCATTGCTGTTATAGTTTTCCATCATTCTAGCCATTGCTGTTATAGTTTTCTATCATTCTAGTCATTGATGTTATAGTTTTGTATAATTCTAGTCCTTGATGTTATAGTTTTCTATCATTCTAGTCATTGATGTTATATTTTTCTATCATTCTAGTCATTGATGTTATAGTTTTGTATCATGCTAGTCATTGCATTTTTTTTTACATAAATCCTTTTGAGTAGTTAATAAATGCTAACTTAAAAATTTTGTTTACTTATTTGAATCTCTCAGTCCGAAATGTGGGCGGACACAATGAAATGGCGCGTACCGTCCACAAAAATGATCTATATGATGTATAAGAAATATATGATGTATAAGAAATATATGATGTATAAGAAATATATGATGTATAAGAAATATATGATGTATAAGAAATATATGATGTATAAGAAATATATGATGTGTAAGAAATATATGATGTATAAGAAATATATGATGTATAAGAAATATATGATGTATATAGCTAGAGAAAATGTGCATTATCACTTTTTGAATGAATAGAAAAATTCATTTGTGATACATCCGGAGGGTCACAACATTTAATATGGTGGGCTGAAGACTGCCCAGCCCTGCATTAAGCTTAGAAGCCTGATTTTATTTTCCGTTAACATATTGTGATCTAAAACTACAGCAAGATTTATTGGGAGAAGGGAAGAGAATTGATGGAACAATAGTAGGGTGCTAAGTGACTTTTAAAAATTGATTTCGAATGCCACTTACCAGATCTTATAGAATATTTCAAAATCTAACGCTACTATGCGGAGCAATAGACAATGCATTTTTTAAAAAAAGTAAGTCGTCTTGAAAAAGTTGGGCCGATTCAAGGCCGATGATAACATTAAAATCATCCATGCAATGAGCATGTCCATTAACGGAGCCAATTAGAGTTGATTAGTGAATTGTTCATCCAATATCGTATGAAAAAAAAAAATCAAACCCTTTCCCGTACCCTGCCAAAGTAAGGGGCCATCCATTATACGTACGCACTCAATCACTTTCGGTCGAAACCGAAAATAAACTGAAACTTAACTTTTTTGTTTTGGCCGAAACCGAAATTCAACCGAACATCATGTTTCAGCCGAAAAAGAAAAAAATGCCGAAAGTGATCAAATAGCAACTTTCGGTGCCGAAACCGAAGCCGAAATTCTGTCAGTCTCTAATGCAAATCTATAAATAGAATATATTTATCTTTAAAAAAAGACGGAGCAGTAGATTGATGCAAAGAGTAGAATGATGCGGAGCAGTAGAATGATGAGAAGCAATAGAATGATCAGGAGCAGTAGAATGATGAGGAGCAGTATAATGATGAGGATCAGTAGAATAAAAGCGGAGCAGTATAATGATGTGGAGCAGTAGAATGATGAGGAGCAGTAGAATAAAAGCGGAGCAAGAGAATGATGTGGAGCAGTAGAATAAAAGCGGAGCAGTAGAGAAAAAGCGGAGCAGTCGAATAAAAGCGGAGCAGTAGAATGATGTGGAGCAGTAGAATGATGTGGAGCAGTAGAATAAAAGTGGAGCAGTAGAATAAAAGCGGAGCAGTAGAATGATGAGGAGCAGTAGAATGATGTGGAGCAGTAGAATGATGAGGAGCAGAAGAATGATGAGGAGCAGTAGAATGATGTGGAGCAGTAGAATGATGAGGAGCAGAAGAATGATGAGGAGCAGTAGAATGATGTGGAGCAGTAGAATGATGAGTAGTAGAATAATGAGGAGCAGCAGAATGATGCGTTCATTCATTGAAATGTTTTTGATGCCTGCACCCACCTCTTTCTGTGTCCAGTGGACAATGCCCTTGTGACTGATCATCAGGACGTTAGGATACAGTGCCCGGGTGGGCGCCACTCTAGAACAAAGAGATTTTCAGAAACTAATGACACATTAATTTTTTGTGACATGAATATTAAAATCAAACAAAACATTTCAAAATTTAACATCGGAAACTTTACGTTACAAACTTAATTGTTTGCATGGTCAGGCTTTTCTCTAATGCACCCCTCTGACCAATACGCTTAGCTGATACCATACCCTCTGACCTATATCCTTAGCTGATACCATACCCCTCTGAACTATACGCTTAGCTGATACCATACCCCTCTGACCTATACCCTTAGCTGATACCATACCCCTCTGACCAATACGCTTGGCTGGTACCATACTCAAAGTTCAATGGCTTATCAAAACGTATTTAAATGTTTGTGGCAGTGTGTTTGTTGTTTGTCTTACTTAAAGAGAAATACGGGGTGGACTGCCTTCAAGTTGAAACCATAAGAAGTATACAAAGGACAGAGGACAACCTGAAGAAGGAAAATAACAGAACTTGGATGTATTTGATTGTGTCTACAGTCTTCTGTAGACTACATCTCTATACAACAAGCTAAGAGTGCTTGCGTCTTTCTTGAACTGTTGTGGAAGGCTAGTTTGGCAAGAACGTTCACTTTGTGTTATTGTCCTTCAAGTTTTCCTCTAACCCTTTGGATATTTCTAATATCTTTTTTAAGCAGTCTTCTGAAAACAATGACATAATTGTTAAGCTATCCTTTGTGACATAGAAAGCTGCTTGATGTCTACATAGTACAAGCTTGCATGTTTCAACAATCTCATCTTGACTTGTTTTGTTTGTTGTTTGCACTGATGATGAAGTCGATGAAAGCGGAATCAACCGATATCGGTTAAGAATTATTTTTTTAACTAACATTATAATATCATAGATTTTTTTCATTTCTCTTTAAATATGGTTGACTTTGTACCGCGCTTCGAGCCTTTGGGATGTGATTTTCAAAAAAGCTTTATTATTATAATTATTATTATTAGTAAGCAGTATATCACGAGACAAATGTATAGCATAAAAGTGACCAGAAAGGCAGGGTGTAAGGCAAGGACACAATATCTATTCTAATAAAAGGCAAAGCCCTCACTCACTGACTCATCACTAATTCTCCAACTTCCCCTGTAGATAGAAGCCTGAAATTTGGCAGGCTTACTCCTTACAGCTTACATACAAAAGTTAAGCAGGTTTTATTTTGAAACTCTATGCCGTTGGGGGCCGGGGGTCCAAAATGTCATTTTTCTCTATATGAGCTTTATAAACAAAATGATCAACAAATACTGCTACATGAATAGATGGATCTTGACCAAACTTAATATACATATATTTGATTATCCATATTCAAATACCGAAGGGTACTTAACACATAATATCCATCCGTCTGGGGCGGTAGGCCCATTACATTTTTTCTAATATAATCTTTATAAATATCAATAGGCTTAGTACTCCTACATGAATTGATGGATCTTGACCAAACTTAGTACCCATACACTTGATTATCCATATTCAAATGCCCAAGTGTACTAAACACATAATATTCATCCCTCTCTGGCCGAGGCCCCCATTTCAATTTTTCTTATATAAGCTATATTCTCCAACTTCCCAAGTAGATAGAAGGTTGAAATTTGGCAGGGTTATTTTTTACAGCCTACTTACAAAAGATAAGCATGATAAGCATGTTTAATTTCGAAACTCTACCCGGAACGGTCAAACTGGGGGCACGAAATTCGTTTTTTCCTTACATGAGCATTATACATAAAATTAACAACAAATACTCTTACATGGATAGATGGATCTTGACCAAACTTAGAACACATAAACTTGATTATCCGTATTCAAATACTGAAGTGTACTGAACTCATAATATCCATACCTCTGGGGCCGGGGGCCCTATTTCATTTTTTCTTATATGAACTATTTAAATATCAATGAGCTTAATATTCCTACATAAATAGATGAATCTCGACTACACTATGTACATATACTCTTGTATTATCCAAGTTCAAAGGCCAAAGGGTACTGAAATCATTATATCTATACCTCTGGGGCCGGGGCCCTATTTAATTTTTTTCTTATATGAGCTATATAAATATCAATAGGCTTAACATTCCTACATAGATAGATGGACCTTGACCAAACTTAGGACACATTCTCTTGACTATCCATTTTCAAATACCGAAGGGTACTGAACTTATAATATCCATAACTCTGGGGCGGGGGGGGGGGGCATTTCATTTTCTATTATATAAGCTTTATTCTCCAATTTCCCCTGTGGATAGAAGCTTGGATTTTGGCAGGCAGATTCCTTACAGCGTACTTACTAAAGTTATGAAGGTGTAATTTCAAAACTCTACCCGGAAAGGTATGAACTTATAATATCCATAACTCTGGGGCGGGGGGGGGGGGCATTTCATTTTCTATTATATAAGCTATATTCTCCAACTTCCCCTGTAGATAGAAGCCTGGAATTTGGCAGGCAGATTCCTTACAGCGTACTTACAAAAGTTATGCAGGTGTCATTTCAAAACTCTACCCGGAAAGGTCACAACCGGGGGCCCCGAATTCGTTTCTTTCCTAATATCAGCTACATAAATAAATTTAACAAGAGATACTCCTACATGGATAGATAGATCTTGACCAAACTGAGTACACATACTCTTGATTATCCATATTCAAATACCCGAGGTTACTGAACTCATGATATTCATCCCTCTGGGGCCTGGGGCCCCATTTCATTTGTCTAATATAGTCAATAGACATATCAATAGCCTTAATACTCCTAAATGAATCGGTGGATGTTGACTAAACTAAGTACAGATACTCTTGAATATCCATATTCAAATACCGAAGGGTACTGAACTTATAATACCCATACCTCTGGGGCCATGGGCCCGATTTTTTTTTTTTATTATATAAGCTATATTCTTCAACCTCCCCTGTAGATAGGAGTCTGAAATTTGGAAGGCTTATTCCTTTTGGCTTACTCACAAAAGTTCAGGAGGTTTCATTTCGAAACTCTACCCGGAACGGTCACAATTGGGAGACCCGATTTTTTTTCCTTTTATTATTTATAAAAATTATATTAACAAGAATTACTCCTACATGGACAGCTGGATCTTGACCAAACTTAGCACACATACACGTGATTATCCATATTCAAATACTGAGGTTACTGAACTCATAACATCCATCCCTCTGAGGCCGGGTGACCATTTTCATTTTTCCTAATATAAGTTATATAATATCAATAGGGTTAGACAACACTATAGGCTCTATGTGAATAGGTTGCTCTAGGCCTAGCTTTGTAGCAATACCCTTCTCTGTCCGCATTAAAATATCAATGGATTTAAACCTAATAATATCCAACCCATTTAGGGCCGATTTAGATTTTTCAAGAAACTTCGATAGTTTAAAAAAGCTGTATCAAAGGCATTTTCAAACCAATTTTAATAGGACAAATTTTAAATCTATAATTTATCGGAATGATTTTTATAGGGCCCCCATCTCAGGCATAACTAAAATGTTACTTTATTAAATTGGCCCCCACCAAGGCCCCTGTATCAATTTAAATGTACTATAGTTGTAGTAGTACAATTTAGCTGTATAATATTTCGAATTCGAGAAATAATTACTTATAAAAGTGATTTTTTTACACATTTCATGGAGGGTATTAAATTTAATCTAGAATATTCTAGAATGTTCTATATTATTCTACGGGATATATAATTAGATCTAAAAGCGTACTCGAACAAAATCGCACTGAGCATGATCCTATTGAGAAACAGGATCCTAATGGGATCCATCGGTTACGCGATCCCATCGGGGAACAGGATACCATCGAGATCCCATCGGGTAACGGGATCAAAACGGGATCAGGATCCTATCAGAAAAAGTGATAACATCGGAACAGAGAGTCCCTAGGTGAAACGGGATCCCACTGAGAACGGTATCCTAACGGGATGGGTAGCCCACTGGGATCAAGAAACCGAAGGGATCGGAGCCACAAGGAAATATGTTCCCACCGTGAAAGGGATCACACCGGGAAAAGGGATTGCGCCGGGATCGGTTTCAGAATGGGATTGAGGACTCCTTAGAATTGGGGTCTTACCAGGATTGGGGTCTCAAGGGCAGACCCTACAGCAGTGGTTCTCAACCTTTCTAAGGCCGCAACCCTTTATACAGTCCCTCATGTTGTGGCGACCCCCAACCATAAAATTATTTTCGTTGCTATTTCAAAACTGTAATTTTGCTTCTGTTATGAATCGTAATGTAAATATGTGATATGCAGGTTGTATTTTCATTGTGACAAATTGAACATAATTAAAGCATTGTGATTAATCACAGAAAAACAATAGGTAATTACATATTGTGAAATATATTTTTCTAATTAAAAATAAATGAAATTTTGTCTTGAGGCATGGTGTAGCACGGGTAACAGTCTTGATGTAAAAACAGTAAACTCCATTGCTACATGTTGAGACAGTATGCGTAAAAAGACAACGTCAGTGCGAAGGTTGAGATTGTTTCTTTCTTACCAAATCAGAAATGCTCGGGACAGTCTCTGCAAGAGCACAACGAAGATCATCGTCCACAACAAGTCTATTTCTATCTTTAGACTTGATTACCAACAAGCTGGAAAACCCTGTTTGACAAAGATATGTTGTTGGAAAGGGCTGAGGAGGGCACAACACAGTCTCAGACAGAACAAGATATGACTGCAAACACTTGATCCAGAATTTTCTAACTGGCTTGTAGAGAAATCAGTTCTCACTGCATCGCTGTTAATAAGTTCAATGAACTCCTCTTGTGTTGACTCGGGAACATCTTTAACTTTGACTGTGAGAGGGCTTCTGGCAAGTGCATTTGGGGTGTCAGATAGATTTTGAAAGTATGATACAATTTCGTGTATAAGCATGTGCAAGTGTTTCTTCACTGAATTTATCATCGTTATCTCTTTTTCTGGTTCAATGTCATGTTCCTCAAAGACACCAGATAAGATTGGCAGCATGTCATTTTATTTTCACCCAGTTTTTTTCCCAAAGCTGAAATTAAACTTTAAACGATCGCATCTTTTCAGACAGATTGACGCATGTTGCATTTGGTCCTTGCACTGATCAATTTAATTCATTGAAGATGACAAAGAGGTCAACCAAGTAAACTATGTTCTGCACTTCACTCTTATCACTAAAAAGTGCTTTAAACTGCGGTCTGGCTTTCTGATTTGAACAAGTTCTGAGTTCACCACGAAGGTCAAAATTATGTTTAAAACGTTTCCTTTCAACAACCACGTGACTTCAGTGTGACATAGCAGAGTCCTTTCGACAACCAACCCACTTCAGTGTGACATAGCAGAGTCCTTTCGACAACCAACCCACTTCGGTGTGACATAGCAGAGTCCTTTCGACAACCAACCCACTTCGGTGTGACATAGCAGAGTCCTTTCGACAACCAACCCACTTCGGTGTGACATAGCAGAGTCCTTTCGACAACCAACCCACTTCGGTGTGACATAGCAGAGTCCTTTCGACAACCAACCCACTTCGGTGTGACATAGCAGAGTCCTTTCGACAACCAACCCACTTCGGTGTGACATAGCAGAGTCCTTTCGACAACCAACCCACTTCGGTGTGACATAGCAGAGTCCTTTCGACAACCAACCCACTTCGGTGTGACATAGCAGAGTCCTTTCGACAACCAACCCACTTCGGTGTGACATAGCAGAGCGTTGTTCGGCGCACCCTACTCGTTGCACATTTGCAAAGACAGTCGACTGTTTAAATTGCTCGTCTTTACACAATTGACAGAACTTATGACAGAACTTATGAGAGAACTTATGACAGAACTTATGACGCTTTTCGTCAGTTCTTCTAACATATGTGGCAGCATCTATGTTGCATTTTTTGCCGATGAATCAATCAGTGAGTTCCGGTGACATTTGGTGACTCATTCAGTACCAAACGTTAAAATCCAGATCGACATCCTAGCAGATCTGGAGCACCATCTGTAAAAATACCACAAAGCTTTTCCAAAGAGATCTTACGATCTTTCAGAAATGAACCAACTGTGTCATACACATCACGTGCAGACTGTGTCATACACATCACGTGCAGACTGTGTCATACACATCACGTGCAGACTGTGTCATACACATCACGTGCAGACTGTGTCATACACATCACGTGCAGACTGTGTCATACACATCACGTGCAGACTGTGTCATACACATCACGTGCAGACTGTGTCATACACATCACGTGCAGACTGTGTCATACACATCACGTGCAGGAGTTGTCGTTTGAACCAACTGTGTCATACACATCACGTGCAGGAGTTGTCGTTTGAACCAACTGTGTCATACACATCACGTGCAGGAGTTGTCGTTTGAACCAACTGTGTCATACACATCACGTGCAGGAGTTGTCGTTTGAACCAACTGTGTCATACACATCACGTGCAGGAGTTGTCGTTTGAACCAACTGTGTCATAAACATCACGTGCAGGAGTTGTCGTTTGAACCAACTGTGTCATACACATCACGTGCAGGAGTTGTCGTTTCAAGAGGTTTGCAAAAAAGGAACTCATCTCTAAAGTCGACATCATTTATATACCTTAAGTAAACTAGTAACTGACTGTGAGTTAAAGCTTTAAAATAGATTAATAAGACACGAACAAATTGGGTATACGTTTACTTGTATAATTTTTATTAAAGCGTAACTTATATTGTTATAATTACACAATTTGTTCGTGTCTTATTAATCTAGATTCATGAAACAGAATCCTAAATATTGGAAGTGGAGTAGATTTAATTTCTTGGATTACCTGATCAAGAATATCAACAGACATGTCATCTGTTCTTCGGCGGACAATGTCGTTAGATAAGGAAATTTCACTCAATTTTGTAACAAATTTTCGTCTCCAATCATAATGAAAATTTGCGACATATCTGTTTTTTTAGCCGGTCCTAATCAATGGGTTTCTAAAACCGTCAGCATCGGAAATGTGTGTTTTCCAATGATCTTTGGCGACCCCGTGAAATGGTCGCACGACCCCCAAAGGAGTCGCGACCCAGAGGTTGAGAACCGCTGTCCAACAGGATTGATTTTCGCAAGGAATGCATTTGATCGTCTCCCGACTATGCGGATAGTTGATCACGTCTGACCTTTTTGTCTTAAAAAGAAGCGGTGGTATTTTGCTAGTATACCATGTAAGAGAGCAGTAGGGCACCGTGTTAGGCAAGGACAAATATATACCATATAAGAGAGCAGTAGGGCACCGTGTTAGGCAAGGACAAATATATACCATGTAAGAGAGCAGTAGGGCACCGTGTTAGGCAAGGACAAATATATACCATGTAAGAGAGCAGTAGAGCACCGTGCTAGGCAAGGACAAATATATACCATGTAAGAGAGCAGTAGAGCACCGTGTTAGGCAAGGACAAGTATACACCATGTAAGAGAGCAGTAGAGCACCGTGTTAGGCAAGGACAAATGTATACCATGTAAGAGAGCAGTAGAGCACCGTGTTAGGAAAGGACAATAAATATACCATGTAAGAGAGCAGTAGAGCACCGTGTTAGGCAAGGACAAATATATACCATATAAGAGACCAGTACAGCACGTTGTTAGGTAAGGACAAATATGTACCATGCATAAAAGAGAGCAGTACAGCACGGTGTAAGCAAACGACAAATATATACCATATAAGAGAGCAGTACAGCACGGTGTAAGAAAACGACAAATATATACCATATAAGAGAGTAGTACAGCATGGGACAAACATATACCATATCACGTGGTTTTAGGAAAATTGCTTGAATGGGGTGGGGGGTGGTGGGGGGGGGGGGGGGGGGGCCTCTACTCACACGTGGGTGAGGGCGATATCCGGAGCCCCCACAAATAAGAAAACGACAAATATATACCATATAAGAGAGTAGTACAGCATGGGACAAACATATACCATATCACGTGGTTTTAGGAAAATTGCTTGAATGGGGTGGGGGGTGGTGGGGGGGGGGTGGCGGGGCCTCTACTCACACGTTGGTGAAGACGATATCCGGAGTCCACACAATGCTCGAGTTGACCATGATCTGGAACACTTTGTCTGGATACCATTCTAGTCTGCTGTCGAACCAACTCTGAGTAAACAGAAGCATAGAACTGAACATCAAACAATTTCTCCTATAGAGGACACACTTTTACCTCATAATATAGTATTGTTAGTTTATGTTATATGTGCCTAAATGACTGCACATCTTTGTTAGTTTATGTTAGATGCGCCTAAATGACTGCATATTGCATGTTCTCCCTGTCATTTATCCGCTAAAATTAAGTGAGTTTTTCTGCTGTTGTTGTTCTTGTTTTTATCATTTATTACCGTCGTCTTTTAGGTAGATCTTTTAGGTAGTTCTTTTTGATACATAAACAAACAATATATTTTCAATGCTTCTTTTCACATGCATGTCTGGTTACGAGGAACTGTACTGAATCTTTAATAGGAAGTTGAAATAGAAATAATGATTCTTGAAAGATGAAATAGCAACTCCGAATCGGAAGTCACCGTGAGTCTTTAGACAAGTTTTGTTTTGGAATTCTGACCAACTGAAAGAGCATGTCACCGTAAGTCTTTAGTATTCTTTTGGAATTCTGATAAACTGAAGGATCGAGTTACCGTAAGTCTTTAGTGTTCTTTTGGAATTGGAATTCTGACTAACGGAAAGAGCATGTCACTGTAAGTCTTTACTGTTCTTTTGGAATTCTGACTAACTGAAAGAGAATGTCACCGTAAGTCTTTAGTGTTCTTTTGGAATTCTGACCAACTGAAGGATCATGTCACCGTAAGTCTTTAGTGTTCTTTTGGAATTCTGACTAACGGAAAGAGCATGTCACTGTAAGTCTTTAGTGTTCTTTTGGAATTCTGATAAACTGAAAGAGAATGTCACCGTAAGTCTTTAGTGTTCTTTTGGAATTCTGACCAACTGAAGGATCATGTCACCGCAAGTCTTTACTGTTCTTTTGGAATTCTGATAAACTGAAAGAGCATGTCACTGTAACTCTTTAGTATTCTTTTGGAATTCTGACCAACCGAAGGATCATGTCACCGTAAGTCTTTAGTGTTCTTTTGGAATTCTGACTAACTGAAAGAGCATGTCACTGTAAGTCTTTAGTATTCTTTTGGAGTTCTGACTAACGGAAAGAGCATGTCACCGTAAGTCTTTAGTATTATATTGGAATTCTGACCAACCGAAGGATCATGTCAACGCAAGTCTGTAGTGTTCTTTTGGAATTCTGATCAACCAAAGGATCATGTCACCGCAAGTCTTTACTGTTCTTTTGGAATTCTTATCATGACACTGTAAGTCTTTAATGTTCTTTTGGAATTCTGATCAACCGAAGGATCATGTCACCGGAAGTCTTTAGTATTCTTTTGGAATTCTGATTAACCGAAGGATCATGTCACCGTAAGTCTTTAGTGTTCTTTCAGAATTCTGACCAACAGAAGGATCATGTCACCGCAAGTCTTTACTGTTCTTTTGGAATTCTTATCATGACACCGTAAGTCTTTAATGTTCTTTTGGAATTCTGATCAACCGAAGGATCATGTCACCGGAAGTCTTTAGTATTCTTTTGGAATTCTGATTAACCGAAGGATCATGTCACCAGAAGTCTTTAGTGTTCTTTCAGAATTCTGACCAACAGAAGGATCATGTCACCGCAAGTCTTTACTGTTCTTTTGGAATTCTGACCAACCGAACGATCATGTCACTGTAAGTCTGTAGTGTTCTTTTGGAATTCTGACCAACCAAAGGATCATGACACCGTAAGTCTTTAGTTTTCTTTTGGAATTCTGATCAACCGAAGGATTATGTCACCGTAAGTCTTTACTGTTCTCTCAGAATTCTGACCAACCGAAGGAACATGTCACCGGAAGTCTTTAGTGTTCTTTTGGAATTCTGATCAACCGAAAGATCATGTCACCGTAAGTCTTTAGTGTTCTTTCAGAATTCTGACCAACAGAAGGATCATGTCACCGCAAGTCTTTACTGTTCTTTTGGAATTCTGACCAACCGAACGATCATGTCACTGTAAGTCTGTAGTGTTCTTTTGGAATTCTGACCAACCAAAGGATCATGACACCGTAAGTCTTTAGTTTTCTTTTGGAATTCTGATCAACCGAAGGATTATGTCACCGTAAGTCTTTACTGTTCTTTCAGAATTCTGACCAACCGAAGGAACATGTCACCAGAAGTCTTTAGTGTTCTTTTGGAATTCTGATCAACCGAAAGATCATGTCACCGCAAGTCTTTAGTGTTCTTTTGGAATTCTGATCAACCAAAGGATCATGACACCGTAAGTCTTTAGTATTCTTTTAGAATTCTGACCAACCGAAGGATCATGTCACCGTAAGTCTTTAGTGTTCTTTTGGAATTCTGACCAACCAAAGGATCATGTCACCGCAAGTCTTTAGTGTTCCTTTGGAATTCTGACCAACCGAAGGATCATGTCACCGTAAGTCTTTAGCGTTCTTTTGGAATTCTGACCAACCGAAGGATCATGTCACCGCAAGTCTTTACTGTTCTTTTGGAATTCTGACCAACCGAACGATCATGTCACTGTAAGTCTTTAGTGTTCTTTTGGAATTCTGACCAACCGAAGGATCATGTCACCGCAAGTCTTTAGTGTTCTTTTGGAATTCTGACCAACCGAAGGATCATGTCACCGTAAGTCTTTAGCGTTCTTTTGGAATTCTGACCAACCGAAGGATCATGTCACCGCAAGTCTTTAGTGTTCTTTTGGAATTCTGACCAACCAAAGGATCATGTCACGGCAAGTCTTTAGTGTTCTTTTGGAATTCTGACCAACCGAAGGATCATGTCACCGCAAGTCTTTAGTGTTCTTTTGGAATTCTGATCAGCCGAAGGATCTCGTCAAATTCTCAAACATTCCGGGGCTCAAAAATCAAGACCAAATTTCATCAGCAGTTTGTATTTCAGAGTCTAACTCTCTAAACACAAAGTTAAAAAGATAATTGCAAGGAACAGAAGAGAAACCCCAAGCCAGAACCATCTTGAGGCACGGGTTAAATGGGGCAGATGTCCAGGGCCTCACAGATGGGCAGATGGCCTTGCAGGTGTGCCTGGCTTTTTCTAGGGGCATCAAGATCTTTACGTAATTATGGCGTTGCTAGATGCCTTGCCCCCATTCCCCCAGTAAACGTCTGAAAGCCCCTCCACACACAGACACACTTTCAATCAATGAACTTGTCTGAAAGAAACACTGATCAAAGTTCATGCGCCATCCTGAGCCCATAGCTTTTTCCTATCAATACTTGCATTGGTTAAAGATGACTCAGGGGTCTCAAAGCATCATTTAATAATAATAATAAATAATACAGTTTATTTGAAAATTACGCTTTAACACCAAAGTCTCAAAGCGCGGTACAAATTCAACCAACTAGGAGATAATAGCTAGCTAGAAAAGATGGTAGACAGCATCACGCCAGTAGGTGTTTGCAAAATAGATGTGTTTTCAAATCGGTTTTGAAAGACTCAAGTGTCTGGCTGTTTCTGCGAGCAACAGGAAATGTGTTCCAAATTGTTGGGCCAGCAAATGCGAAAGTGCGCCTTCCGATAATCTCAAGGCGACGCGGTGGTATCGAGAGTTTGCCACTACCGGATGAGCGGAATTGTCTATTTGGTACTGAAGTCATCATGAGCGCTTTGAGATAAGATGGCGCCAGGTCATACAAGCAGCGGTAGCACAGAGTTGCAATTTTGTACTCTATGCGAGCGCGGACCGGCAGCCAATGCAACTCTCTCAGTAGTATTTTAGCATGTTCAAATTTGCCTTTGCGAAGAACAATGCGAGCCGCACTATTCTGGGCTTTTTGAATTTTACCCACCATGCAGTATTCCATGCGTGATAGCACGAATACAGACATCAGTCTCTTTGTTGCATCAAACATTAAGAAAGGTCTGATATGACTATTTCTGCAAAGCTCTAGAAACATCGCCTTGCAAAGCATGTTAATGTGATATTCCATAGTTAGTGTTCTATCTAAGTAGTACCCCAGGTTTCGCACTGTTTGTGCAAACTTAATCTGGATACCTGAGAGAGTAAGGGTTGGTGTGTTATTTACAGATTTCAGCTTTTGTGCGGTAGCAATGGGGATCAGCTCGGTCTTTTCATCGTTTAATTTCAGTTTGTTTATGTTCATACAGTGCTTAACTGACTCCACTGTCTTCCTTGTCATACTAAGAAGCTTAGGGAACTGAGAGGAGGTCACGGATTGCTGAAGTTGTGTATCATCCGCGAACATTTGATACAGGATGTCAAACAGCTTGATCACTGAATGTACGTAGTGAAAAGCAGCGGGCCTAAGACCGAGCCCTGGGGTACTCCGAATTCAATAATAGTTTGCTTGAGGTCAAGCAGTTTGCGATAACTGATTAGACCCGATTTGTCATATACGAGCGGAACCATCTCAGCACGGTATCGGTGAAACCAAACCTTGTTTGCAGACGTTGTAGAAGTTTGCCGTGGTCAAGCGTATTGAACGCTAGCGATCAAGTAGCGACAGAAGCGATAACTTGCCCTCGTCACAAGATGACATGAGGTCATTTATGACGCGCAACAGGGCTGTCTCAGCACCCTGTATGCTGACTGGAAAGCCTCAAACAAGTCACACTGAGTGAGGTGGTTCAGGAGCTGGCGGAAATCGACTTTCTCTAAATTTTTGGATACAAATTTGAAACAATATGACCCTGGGCCCTCGATGGGCTCTCGATGTTGTTAGGACAGCCCTGCCAAAATCTTTTTAAAAGTCAGAAATGGTGGTGAAAAATAAAATCACAGGATATTACGTCATGTGTCATAGGTCATGTGTCATTTGGTAAATAAATACCTTGCCCTCTTTAATGGAGCGCAGCAATTAGTAGAAATTAGGGTGTTGGTGCGGTTAGGTAACCAGTGCGCTGTGGATAGGTCATCAAGATCAGTCAACATTCTCTCTATCAGAACTCTCCCTATAAGCACTCTCCCTAAAAGCACTCTCCTTATCAGCACTCTCCCTATAATCCCTCTCCTTATCAGCAATCTCCCTATAAGCACTCTCCCTATAATCCCTCTCCTTATCAGCAATCTCCCTATAAGCACTCTCCCTATAATCCCTCTCCTTATCAGCAATCTCCCTATAAGCACTCTCCCTATAAGCACGCTCCCATAAGCACTCTACCTCTCAGCACACTCTCTACCAGCACTCTCCCTATAAGCACTCTCCCTATCAGCATGCTCTCTATCAGCACTCTCTCTATCAGCTCTCTCTCTCTATCAGCTCTCTCTCTCTATAATCACTCTCCCTATAAGCACTCTCCCTATAAGCACTCTCCTATCAGCACTCTCCCAATAAGCACTCTCCCTATAAGCACTCTCCCTATCAGCACTCTCCCTATAAGCACTCTCCCTATCAGCACTCTCCCTATCAGCATTCTCCCTATAAGCACTCTCCCTATCAACACTCTCCCTATAATCACACTCTCTATAAGCACTCTCCCTATCAACACTCTCCCTATAAGCACTCTCCCTATAAGCACTCTCCCTATAAGCACTCTCCCTATCAACACTCTCCCTATAAGCACTCTCCCTATAAGCACTCTCCCTATAAGCACTCTCCCTATAAGCACTCTCCCTATAAGCACTCTCCCTATCAGCACTCTCCCTATAAGCACTCTCCCTATAAGCACTCTCCCTATAAGCACTCTCCCTATAAGCACTCTCCCTATAAGCATTCTCCCTATCAGCATTCTCCCTATAAGCACTCTCTCTATAAGCACTCTCCCTATAAGCACTCTCCCTATAAGCACTCTCCCTATAAGCACTCTTCCTATCAACACTCTCCCTATAATCACTCTCTCTCTATAAGCACTCTCCCTATCAACACTCTCCCTATAAGCACTCTCCCTATAAGCACTCTCCCTATAAGCACTCTCCCTATCAACACTCTCCCTATAAGCACTCTCCCTATAAGCACTCTCCCTATAAGCACTCTCCCTATCAACACTCTCCCTATCAACACTCTCCCTATAAGCACTCTCCCTATAAGCACTCTCCTTATAAGCACTCTCCCTATAAGCAATCTCTCTATAAGTACTCTTCCTATAAGCACACTCCCTATCAGCACTCTCCCTATGAGCATACTTTCTATCAGCATACTCTCTATAAGCACTCTCTCTATCAGCTCTCTCTCTATCAGCACTCTCCCTATAAGCACTCTCCCTATAAGCACTCTCCCTATCAACACTCTCCCTATCAACACTCTCCCTATAAGCACTCTCCCTATAAGCACTCTCCCTATAAGCACTCTCCTTATAAGCACTCTCCCTATAAGCAATCTCTCTATAAGTACTCTTCCTATAAGCACTCTCCCTATCAGCACTCTCCCTATGAGCATACTTTCTATCAGCATACTCTCTATCAGCACTCTCTCTATCAGCTCTCTCTCTATCAGCACTCCCTATAAGCACTCTCCCTATCAGCACTCTCCCTATAAGCACTCTCTATTAGCACTCTCCTTATCAGCACACTCTCTATCAGCACTCTGCCTATCAGCACTCTGCCTACCTGCAATCTCCTAATCAGCTCTCTCTCTCTCTCTATTAGCACTCTCCCTGTCAGCACTCTGCCTATCAGCAATCTCTCTATCAGCACTCTCCCTATTAGCACTCTCCCTATCATATCTCTATCAGCACTCTCCCTGTTAGCTCTCTCTATCAACTCTTTCTCTCTATCAGCATTCTCTCTATTAGCAGTCACTCTAGTAGCACTCTCCCTTTCAGCATTCTCCCTATTAGCTCCCTCTATCAGCTCTTTCTATTAGCACTCTCCCTATCAGCTCTCTCTATAGCACTCCCTCTATCAGCACTCTGCCTATCAGCACTCTCCCTATCAGCACTCTCTCTATTAGCACTCTCAACTATCAGCACTCTCCTTATTAGGACTCTCTCTATTAGCACTCTCAACTATCAGCACTCTCCTTATTAGGACTCTCTCTATTGGCACTCTCAACTATCAGCACTCTCCTTATTAGGACTCTCTATATCAGAACTCTCTCTAAAAGCACTCTCCCTATCAGCACTCTCTCTATTAGCAAATTCCCTATCAGCACTCTCTCTATTAGCACTCTCTCTATTAGCACTCTCCCTATCAGCACTCTCTCTATTAGCAAACTCCCTATCAGCACTCTCTCTATTAGCACTCTCCCTATTAGCACTCTCTCTATTAGCAATATCTGCTACGTCTGAAACTTGGAGTATCGGGGTAGAATTTCCATTAAAGTGTTTGAGCACATGAAGTAAACTATTTGTACCAATAAGAGGTAAATGTTTATATTGATGGCAGTGAACATTGATGACAGTGAACATTGATGACAGTGAACATTGATGACAGTGAACATTGATGACAGTGAACATTGATGGCAGTGAACATTGATGACAGTCAACATTGATGGCAGTGAACATTGATGGCAGTGAACGTTGATGGCAGTGAACATTGATGACAGTGCGCATTGATGACAGTGAACATTGATGACAGTGAACATTGATGACAGTGAACATTGATGGCAGTGAACATTGATGGCAGTGAACATTGATGACAGTGCACATTGATGACAGTGAACATAGATGACAGTGAACATTGATGACAGTGAACATTGATGGCAGTGAACATTGATGGCAGTGAACATTGACGGCAGTGAACATTGATGACAGTGAACATTGATGGCAGTGAACATTGATGGCAGTGAACATTGATGGCAGTGAACATTGATGACAGTGAACATTGATGACAGTGAACATTGATGACAGTGAACATTGATGACCAGATAAGGAGAAACAGTAGTTCTTTTTTTTTCTTTAGCTGAGACTTGTGGGATAGAAATACAGAGTTATTTATTCAGCGTTCAGGCTTCGAATCGTTCTTACGTCATCGTTAATGGCCGTCTACGTGAATTCCAGGGTTGACAACTCAAACAGATCTAATCTACTGAACAAATGATCTAAATGCCATATTTATTGCGGAAAAACAGTTTTGTTTACGGACACACTGTTTAAAATAAACTTAGGGGGTAAATATCCGTGTAGTTGCTTGACTGTATGTCATAACACCTTGGATATATTTGTATGCCAGTATGTCATAATACCATCTCTATATTTGTATGACTGTGTGTCATAATACCATGTCTATATTTGTACGAATGTATGTCATAATACCATGTCTATATTTGTACGACTGTATGTCATAATAACATGTCTATAATTGTATGACTTTGTGTCATAATGCCATGTCTATATTTGTATGACTGTATGTCATAATGCCATGTCTATATTTGTATGACTGTATGTCATAATGCCATGTCTATATTAGTATCTTGAGATGACTGATCGTTTTCCTGCACTCGGGCCATTATGCCATCATGGTGATGTCTTGGGATCCGTACTTCTTCATGTTTTTCCACAGGCCACCCCTATTGACCTTGTCCGAGCCTTATTCAGGTCGATAAATGTGGAATATAGGGCCTTATTTTGTTCCTGGCATTTCTCTTGAAGCTGCCTGGCAGCAAACACCATATCGATAGTTCCACGTTCTTTGCGGAAACCGCATTGACTTTCAGGTAGGAGACCTAGCTCCAGATGTGTATTCAGGCGGTTCAGAAGGACTCGGGCCAAGACCTTGCCTGCGATGTACAGCAGTGATATTCCTTGGTGATTTTAGCAGGCCTGGCGGTTTCCCTTGTCTTTGTACAGGTGGATAATTGAGGCACCTTTGAGATCCTTTAGTACAGTTTCCATCTGCCAGATGATCTGGAATAGTCACAATAGCTTATCCCTAAGCGTTTCCACCCTCTTTGTAAATTTGGATAGGAATCATGTCGGAGCCAGGTGCTTTGCCACTGGACATTTTGCGGATGGCTGTCTGTATCTCGACCAAAGTTGGAACAGCGTCCAGTGATTTCTTCGTTGGGACCTGGAGCAGTCTTTTAATGGCCTCATCACACAGTGTGAAGCAGGGCTGTGTTCTGGCTACCACAGTCTTCAGTATCATTTATTCTGCAATACTGTCTGATGCGTTCAAGGACCCCTCCACCACGGCTTGCCAATCCGTTTCCGCACCGATGGATCAGTCTCCAACCTTAGGAGGCTTCAAGCTAAACCCAAGGTGAAACATAATACCATCAACGAACTTTTGTTTGAGGACGATTGTGCACTCAACGCTGCATCAGAAGCCGTCATGCAACACAGCGTTGATGTCTTCTCTGGGGCCTGCAACAAATTTGGCCTCACAATCAACACAAAAAGACTGAAGTGGTGTATCAGCCAGCTCCGAGTGAGCCCTACGTTGAACCCAGTATCACCATCAACGGACAGCGTCTAAACGCTGTGGACAAATTTACCAACTTGGACAGCACTCTCTCCAGATCTGCTATCATGGATGGCGAAATGAATGCCACACTCGCAAAAATTAGTGAAATATTTGTCAGACTCCGCAGCAATTTTTGGAACAGAAGAGGTATCAGGCGAGAAACGAAGATAAAGGTCTATAGCGCAGCAATCCTCTCGACTTTGCTCTATGGATGTAAAACGTGGACAGTCTACTAGCATCATGCCCAGAAAGTAAACCACTTCACACAGCATGCCTCAGGAAACTCCTCGGCATCAGGTGGCAAAAGAAAGTGCCTGACACAGACGTCCTTGCTAGAGCGAACCTACCTAGGATCTTCATCACACTGAGGCAGTCTTAACTCCTTTGGACGGGACACGTAGCCCGTATAGAAGACAACCGGCTCCCTAAACAGCTCTTCTTCGGTGAACACACGCTTGGCAAGCGCTCCCAAGGAGGTCAAAGAAAGCGATACAAAGGCACACTGAAAGCAACACTAAAGACCTTCAGCGTCAATCCGATTGAATGGGTGCAGACAGTCCCGGACAGAGCCAAGTAGAGATCAGTTGTAAAGTAGTGGGCTCAATCTCATGAAGTCAGTAGGATAGCGACAGCTGAGACACGCTGCCCAGCCAGAAAAAAAACATCCTTAGACCAACGACTACAGCAGCTATCCCTGTCCGCGGTGCCAGAAAAGATTCCGAGTACGGGTCGGACTAGCAAGCCACCTACGACTGTATGTCATAATACCATCAGGTCTGATTTTATTTTATGACACTTTTTTAATAGCAATTTTGTCATTGGTGTTAAATGAATCTTCTAGTTTATGATATGACAAGTTGAAAGCCAGAAACAAGATATTGAAAACCTTGAATTATCCTGTTTTGTTTCATTTCAAAACATTTTTATATCGATGACTTTCATGAACCGTTTAAAAATGACCAGCCAAAGTCTTTACTTAAAGAATAAAGGCGGCCTTTTTAATTCTTAAGTTAACAATATGATTATCCAGTACAATTTTTAAATTACAGTCTCAATATCCAGTACAACTTTTAACTTACAATCTCAATATCCTGTACAGCTTGTAATTTACAGTCTCAATATCCAGTACAATTTGTAACTTACAGTCTAAATATCCAGTACAGCTTGTAATTTACAGTCTCAATAACCAGTACAATTTGTACCTTACAGTCCCAATATCCTGTACAATTTGTACCTTACAGTCCCAATATCCAGTACAATTTGTAACTTATAGTCTCACTATCCAGTACAATTTGTAACTTACAGTCTCACTATCCAGTACAATTTGTAACTTACAGTCTCACTATTCAGTACAATTTCTAACTTATAGTCTCACTATCCAGTACAATTTGTAAATTACAGTCTCACTATCCAGTACAATTTTTCACTTACAGTCTCACTATCCAGTACAACTTGTAACTTATAGTCTCACTATCCAGTACAATTTGTAACTTATAGTCTCACTATCCAGTACAACTTGTAACTTATAGTCTCACTATCCAGTACAATTTGTAGCTTACAGTCTCAATATCCAGTACAATTTGTAACTTACAGTTTCACTATCCAGTACAATTTCTAACTTATAGTCTCACTATCCAGTACAATTTGTAAATTACAGTCTCACTATCCAGTACAACTTATCACTTACAGTCTCAATATCTAGTACAGCTTGCAGCTCCTGCTTCTTTAGATCCAAGTGCCTGATGTGCTTTAGTGTGGTCACTACTTTAATATCGATGAAAGGTCGGGGTGGTCTGACCCTTGGGTTGTACTTGTGGAAGACCAGGTTAAAGGTCTGGGAAGCCTCCTCCTTGAACTTGTCCCGGTCCCAACCCGCTAGCTGATCCAGTTGGCCTTGACCTGATTTGATGCTGGAAATATTGGTGTTGCGTCATAATATATATATATATATATAGGAAAACACCAAGACAGTTAAAGATAGCCATGGTGAACAGAGATGATGTAGCGTTGACAGTGTTGAAAGGTTGAACAGAGGTGTAGCGTTGACAGTGTTGAAAGGTTGAACAGAGGTGTAGCGTTGACAGTGTTGAAAGGTTGATATATTGTCGACAGCGTTCAAATCGTTGAAGTAATTAAATGGAGGCGTATATAGGCTTGGAACAAAAAGACAGAAAAATTAAAATAACGTTTTGGTCAAATCCCATCTTTGAGCAGACGATACAAAACATGAAATAACAAATTATTTAAAATTGTAAACTTCCCAGACCACAATGTAGTTCTCTCACTTAAGTGTTTCCTGATCAAAATTTAACTCTCTCACTTGAGTGTTCTCAGACCAAAATGTAGCTCTCACTTAAGTGTTCCCAGATCACAATGTAGTGTTATACATTTTATGTTGTAGTTGGAGTTGTGTGCCATACAGGTTGTTGGGCTGATGTAGTGTTGTATATTTTATGTTGTAGTTGGAGTTGTGTGTCATACAGGTTGTTGGGCTATGTAGTGTTGTGTATTTTATGTTGTAGTTGGAGTTGTGTGCCATACAAGTTGTTGGGCTGAATTAGTGTTGTATATTTTATGTTGTAGTTGGAGTTGTGTGTCATACAGGTTGTTGGGCTGATGTAGTGTTGTAAATTTTATGTTGTAGTTCGAGTTGTGTGTTATACAGGTTGTTGGGACGATGTAGTGTTGTATATTTTATGTTGTAGTTGGAGTTGTGTGCCATACAGGTTGTTGGCACGATGTAGTGTTGTATACTTTATGTTGTAGTTGGAGTTGTGTGCCATACAGGTTGTTGGGACGATGTAGTGTTGTATACTTTATGCTGTAGTTGGAGTTGTGTGCCATACAGGTTGTTGGGACGATGTAGTGTTGTATATTTTATGTTGTAGTTCGAGTTGTGTGTCATACAGGTTGTTGGGACGATGTAGTGTTGTATATTTTATGTTGTAGTTCGAGTTGTGTGTCATACAGGTTGTTGGGACGATGTAGTGTTGTATATTTTATGTTGTAGTTCGAGTTGTGTGTCATACAGGTTGTTGGGACGATGTAGTGTTGTATATTTTATGTTGTAGTTCGAGTTGTGTGTCATACAGGTTGTTGGGACGATGTAGTGTTGTATATTTTATGTTGTAGTTCGAGTTGTGTGTCATACAGGTTGTTGGGACGATGTAGTGTTGTATATTTTATGTTGTAGTTCGAGTTGTGTGTCATACAGGTTGTTGGGCTGATGTAGTGTTGTATACTTTATGTTTCAGTTGGAGTTGTGTGCCATATTACTGCCATTCAGAGGTGTAGTCAGAGTTTTTGACGCGTTGCGCGTTCATAAGTTTGACATCCCTCCATCATGACTACGGTGAAAAGGTTTTTCTTATCGTTGTAATTCCACCGAGGGCTGACCTCTCCTCTTGACACGCCAGTGGCGCCATTGTATGTATGTAGTGTACCTAAGTACTAAATGATGTTTGAAACGTAAATATCATTAAATTTTAAAAGTTATGAATTGTGATGAGTTTTTGCAATAGTTGTTAGAAATTATCGCAAAGGACCTACCATTATTATCCCGATAACATCGGGTCATTTATTCTAGTTATATAAGAATGAGCTATGCTAACCGAACTCAAAAGAACCGATACGATTTAAGTACATTCGGATTCTTAAAAACAATCATAGTTATTTTCTATTATTTTACGGAAATCGAAAGATTTAAATGCGCCAAAAATAACATAAATACGGGTATTTTGAAGTAAAAGTTTCAGTGTTATTTGTAGAAGTTATGAATACATTTCAATTATCAAATAAGGAAATATTTTAGGCATTTTATCCCAATTCAAAAGTTATGAAAAATAAAATTTCATAAAAAATGTATGATCTAAGAATTACGTCGTATTCACATTTATCTGGAAAACCTAAGCATCAGTTGTTTTTAGTGCGTTGTTAATATTGCGAAATAAAATTAAAATATTTTGTTCTGAATAAACACGTAAATGACGTAATAGCGCGAATCATCTATACTGGCCAAAACTCTTAAGTTTCTTTGATTAATAACAGCGCGTTATAATACTGATAATGTATTTCGCCCTTTTTACAAGTAAAATTAATAAATATATATGATTGCTCTTTAAATTGTTATTAAAACACACACACATTTTAGCATTGTATTTCTAACACTCAATAAGTTTTTACTTTTTTTATTTCCAAAAATATACTTTTATTAAATGTATAACTTAATAAAAACTTAACCTTTAATTCTAATAAGAAAATGCCGTTTAAGTCAATCGGTGCATAGAAACTCCATAGCGAAATGGCATTCACTAATCCAAATATAACTCATCCAAATAAGAACGAACCATATGAAGTGCAAAATATAATAGTTTGAGAATCGAAGGGACAACAATCCGGTGAAAGATTTTATTAATTTTAGTTAGATCTGGGTTGGGGGGGGGGTGGGGGGTCGACCATTTTGCCCCAGGAAGCACAAGATACGTCTCAAAATAAAGGAATGAATTTGATAAATAATTAACCATCTTGGGTACATACATATCGGAGATAGAAAATAGGATGTGTACATTTTGACGTGGATGACAATATATTTAAATGGTATTAAATTTGTGAAAAAAAGAGATGTTACATTCTCTTTTTACAAATAAACATATGTTTGCCAATTAAGAAAATCAATGGTGTACATTTCTATACGTTTGCCCATGAATATCAAAACCTCATCATTTTACGCGCTTGAAAATTTAATTTTGAAACATTGAGATGTGTTTCTATTTTCTTTCAAAAACATAAAAATATATTTTTGTTTTTACTTTGCGAAAAGTAAAACTGGTGTGTATTTTTATGAGATTAACAATTTTTTTTTTTTTTTTTTTTAAATAAAAAATGTAGAAGCATCATGAACCCTATAACATCGGGTTTTTTATTCTAGTTTTTAAGAATAATATTTAGCGTAGTGATCTTGATTTTATTGTGCTATTCTTTGGCGTTCAAACTTATTTTCGGGGGTTGCGGGAATGAGGGTACTTAAATTGGATAGCATGTGTTTTCGTCGGGACGAGTCTATGAGTAAATTTTCAGCTCGATAGGATGACGGTCAGTGAGTCAATTCGCTGTCCTAAGAATGTGCCTAAAACAAACACACGAACAACTGCGAAGTTGATTTAAAGGATTTACAAATACAACATAGACAGAAAACACAACACTCATGTGAAGTAGACAGACAACATAACACTTATGTGAAGTAGACAGACAACACAACACTCATGGGAAGTAGACAGACAACATGACACTCATGTGAAGTAGACAGACAACACAACACTTATGTGAAGTAGACAGACAACACAACACTCATGTGAAGTAGACAGACAACACAACACTCATGTGAAGTAGACAGACAACACAACACTCATGTGAAGTAGACAGACAACATAACACTCATGTGAAGTAGACAGACAACACAACACTCATGTGAAGTAGACAGACAGCACAACACTCATGTGAAGTAGACAGACAACACAACACTCATGTGAAGTAGACAGACAACACAACACTCATGTGAAGTAGACAGACAACACAACACTCATGTGAAGTAGACAGACAACATGACACTCATGTGAAGTAGACAGACAACACAACACTCATGTGAAGTAGACAGACAACATGACACTCATGTGAAGTAGACAGACAACACAACACTCATGTGAAGTAGACAGACAACATAACACTCATGTGAAGTAGACAGACAACATAACACTCATGTGAAGTAGACAGACAACATAACACTCATGTGAAGTAGACAGACAACATAACACTCATGTGAAGTAGACAGACAACATAACACTCATGTGAAGTAGTCAGACAACATAACACTCATGTGAAGTAGACAGACAACATGACACTCATGTGAAGTAGAATACATGGGGCTGACGCAGACGTGGTTACAAAATCCACGATTTAAATAATTTTAACAAATACTCTTAAATGACCCATGGTCACTATAAAGGTGTCAAGTTATATCCTTTAAACAATAACAATCCTCCTGATGCCAGACACCACCTGGCCTGATGCCCCACACTACTTGGTCTGATGCCCCACACCACCTGACCTGATGCCCCACACAACCTGGCCTGATGCCCCACACTACCTGGCCCGATGCCTCACACTACCTGGCCTGATGCCCCACACAACCTTGCCTGATGCCCCACACTATCTTGCCTGATGCCCCACACTACCTGGCTTGATGCCCCACACCACCTGGCCTGATGCCCCACACTACCTGGCCTGATGCCCCACACTACCTGGCCTGATGCCCCACACTACCTGGCCTGATGCCCCACACCACCTGGCCTGATGCCCCACACTACCTGGCCTGATGCCCCACACTACCTGGCCTGATGCCCCACACTACCTGGCCTGATGCCCCACTCCACCTGGCTTGATGCCCCACACTACCTGACCTGATGCCCCACACTACTTGGCCTGATGCCCCACACTACCTGGCC